AATGTGGCGGATCATAATGAAATCCAGATCAAAATGAAATTATAATATAAAATCTCGAAAAATAAAATTTTTTGGGGCGCATTTTTTAGGGATAGGGGTTAGTGTTAGGGGTTAGTTTTAAAGTAAAGTTATAATAAACAAGTATAAGTGGTTTTAGAAGGTTAACAGGTTGAGTAGAAAATGTAGATTTCATTTTAAATTATGATCCGCAACAATAAATTTGAATCGTTTTGGTTTGCCTTTTTATAAGAATGCTGTTAAATATCGCAGGTTGCTATATCGCAGGTTAACATAATCGACCAATTAGATCATAGGATCTTGTGTAACAAAAATCAGCGAAAAATTAGAAAACTTACAGACTTAAGACAAAGAATCAAAAATTTTAAATATCTAGAAATTTCATTATATAAACTTGTCTTGGACTTCTAATTAAATTTCAGCACTTAATTTTGCGTATATATGTGTCCTTTAATCCCAATTCTAATACTAGTTCGAACCCTAGCCCTAATAAATAAGAATTTTAATTTTTTTTTAAATATTAACCTGCAATATCACAACCTGCTAAATTTAACAAAAATCTTTTAGAATAATGCGTTGAAAAAATTGGATGAGAGTTGGTGTTACAGAAAGTAAAGTAATAATTAGAGTATACTAAATTTTCTGGTTAATAGATTTTTACGCTTATTATGAATTAATTATTTATTAGTTAGTTGTATTCAGATAATTTATTGTTGTATCTAGATTTATGTTTAGTTAGAAGAAATGAGAGTATGCATTAAAAGGTTTTGGCACGTTCAGTACGTACGTACGTACGTACGTACATAAATTTTGTGCGATGGTACACAAATAGATATTTTTTTAGATTTTTTTTTTTCGTATAAATAGACATTCTATTCAGCAGCGAAAAATTTTTTTTGAGCGGATAGAAGCGCATCTCAGATTATAGCTCAATTTTCTGAGTGCTATGAAAATGCGCGCTCTGAGATAAATTGCCCAATCGTTTTTGCTTTGTGTAATGAAAATTTCCTCATTTAGAAAAATGCCATTTCCTATTTCAGTCTTGATCTGCACCAACCTAATATCTATAAGGTAACATGCTGCTCTTAAAGGAAAATAGTTATAGCACAAAATCCAAACGAGCTTGACTAAGCGCTAACTAATGAGTAGTATTTTTCTGAATTTCTGTATACGTAGCACGTCTTTTAGCATATAATAAGGCATTCATATTGACTCTATTATAATTTCACATACCTGCAAAGCTGGTACAGTTAATTATAACTTTAAAAAAAATACAACTTTATTTTGCATTGATATAAAATATCTGATATAAAATTATAACTTTATTTTGTGTTATTACGGTGTTGGCCGGTTCATTATAAAACACAAAGTTCACTGTAGCCACTGTAGATTTTATTTATGTGCATATAAAAAAGTGCGACCTCATTATACAGTACTACTGTACTACAAATCAAATAATGCTTTTTTTAGGGAGAGCGATTGTCATTTAGTTCCGCTTTGCTTTCCAATGCAGTTTGTCGTCTTTTTCCTCGTGTGTTGTTCAAAAGTAAATTTCTTACAGATACCTCAGTCTCAATCAACTTTTTCTGTATTTGAAAAATAAATTAGATAGTTATTAGCAAATTACCATAAATAAAAACCTCTCAACTTACTTCAAGCAATTTAAGTATGCAATATGCATCTTCTAATATGTTGCAACAATCATCATCAACAGGTATCCTGCATCTATCTAGTAATCCGAATCTATACACACCAGACCCTATCCAATCCATCGCGTAAAAGTTCAGCACTAAACCTAAAATAAAACCGTTTGTAAGGATATTATAAAAATTTTATTTCTTGATAGATTGAACCTACCAAACTGAAGCCAACCATAGACTATAACATCTAATCTTTCTTCATTGGACACATAGTCACACTCTTTTAATAGGCGATTAATACTATCTCTCATGACTACCATTAATTTTACTTTGTCTAGAAATCGCTTCTTGCGACAAGCAGTAGGAACTCCAAACGATCCTAATCCACCTGCAACCTCTCCAAAAATTGCCTCAAATTTATTCGGCGTTTTTAATAATGTTACCTTCATGTCGACTTTCCGGCCCACTCATGCT